AGGCATATAAACTAAGATTATGTTTACAGACAAAGCCAACCCAGTGCAAACGGCTAGAGAAGAAGTTGAAGTGGTAATAAATTATATCTTCTAGGCTCAAAAATTCATAGGGACAATGTCTATAGAAATGAAACAGAGGTATATGCTACTTGGGACAAAGACTATGACAAATTTAAACAAAACGCTTAAGTGCAGAGACATCACACTGACAACAAAAGAACATACTGTTAAGGCCATGTCCCCCCCCCCTCCCCCCGGTAACATATTGACTATAAGAACAAATAATTCAATACCAGAGGAAGTAAAACCATACCACCACTGAAAATACTAACAAGGATGTTAAAGCTTGAACATTTTTCACACATAATGCTCAGACAAGAGCTTTGGAAATGACCCTGATGAAAATCAGAGGCAACCACAAAAGAGGCTGACAGAAGATAAGGTGGCTAGATACTATCACTGAGATTATAAGCATGGGCTTACAAAAACTCAAACAATTACTGATGTCCATTGGGTCATGAAGAATCAGAGCAACTGAAAGAACAACCAATAACAATGGTTCAAAACAGAAAGCAGAGAATACATGGGTAATTTTCTCAATGAGGGAATAAGACGTGGAGTCCTTCAAAGATCTGTGATGGGACTGGTACTTTTAAACTTGCCCATAAATTATTTTGACTTAAAAGGAAGCAGTGAGCCAATCAAGTTTGAAAATAATTTGGGTGATAAAAACCCAAATGTGAAAAGGTCCAGAATGATCTCTTTAAACTAGGTGAATAGTCAATCAAATTGTAAATTTGGTTAAATTGAAACAAGCTGAATGGTTCGATTTAAATAAATGCAAAGTGAAGTATACTGGTACAAAATTCACATATATACTGTTGGGGTCTGAGGTGTCTGTAACTACCCAAGAAAAAGATATTAGGATCACAATGCGTAACTTAATCAAAATATCAACTGAAGCATGAGGCAGCTTTAAAAAAAGGGGGATCTCATGTTATGGATCATTTGAAAAGGGACTGAAAATAAAACTGCCAACGTTGTAATGTCCTTATATAAATCTATGGCACATTTGCATCTGGAATACTGTGTACTGTCCTAAATGCCACATTTCATCAAATATATAGTAGGTTCAACCACCTCTCTTACAAGAAAAGGCTATAAAATTTGGGACTCTTTAGATTAGAAAAAAGTAACTTGGATTTGTGGGAGACATGATTGAGGTGTATAGATTCATCCGTGGCATGGAAAAAAGCCAACAGGGAAAACATTTTGTCCCTTTATTAAAACACTATGACCAGATCATTCAGTGAAGCTGATTGAAAGGAGAATTGGAATAGACAAAGGAAAGCATTTATTTACACAGTGCATAATTAACCTGTGGTATTACTATGGTACAGGCTGTGACCACTAACTTAGGGGGCTTTAAAGGGGGTTTAGATAAATTCATATAGGATAAGGTCTATTCATTTATTATTTATTTGAGTTAACCCCACCTTAATCCAGAGGGACACTAGGTGGTTTACCAGTAATAAAAAGCATAATAAAAATAATAATAGACAATAATAAATTTCAATGACAGTCATAAGTTATAAATTCCATTAATACATTAAATAATATAGGCACTGATGACTCCACAATTAATACCCAAAGGTTCTCTGAAAGAGCCAGGTTTTACTAGCTTCTGGAAGAACCTAAGATTGGGGGACATCTTCACCTCCGGGGCAGGCTGTTTCATAGGGGGAAACTCCCCCAGGAAATGCTGGTAATAGCTTCTGGTAGGTGGGGACTATTAATAGGAACTTCCTGTCTGTCCAGGTTGGGTGAACTATTTATCTTAAAGATTCAGTATTTTTCCAGGTTGAGCCATATGCTCCAATGTCGGTTATTTATTTACAAATGTATGTATATTCTGCCTTTCAATCAGGAGCTCAACTCAACATATATAGTGCTCCCTCCTCCTATTTTTCCCCATAACAATAATGCTGTGAGGTTGGTTGGGATGACACAGAGAGAATGACTGGTCCAAAGTCATTCACTGAGCTTCCATAGATAAAGGTGGATTAGTACCTGGGTTTCCTGCTCCTAGTCTGACATCTTGACTGGTACACAACACTGGCTCTCAAATATTGGTTGCAGGGAGCACTCCAGAAGTATCTGGTGGGCCACACTGAGAAACAAAATGCTTAATTAAGATAGGCTTTGACCTGAACCAGCAAGGCTATTTTTATATTCTTACTCTTTCTGGATGTGTTGGATTGCAACTCTCACAGTGCCCAATCAATATTTGCTATAATAGCAATTTTAGCACAACTTACATGGAGAGCACCATGCTGGAGAAGTCTGGTGTATAGCAATCTTGGATGTCAGAGATTTCAATTCTTAGAAGGTGATTCTCTGGCCAAATAGTTTAATGATAAGACCACTCTTTCAAACATAGATAGGCTTCTATAAATAGAAACCTGATTCTCTATCTGGCTATTTTTTGACTCAGACGGCTTTCAGATGAATAAGTGATATGTTTTGGCAGTTTGTCTCATTACGTTCTAGGTTGTCTGGAGTTTAGCAGGGTAATTCTGTATTCATAGGTCTTGATTCGCTTTCAGAGAATTGAATTTAAAACCCTGTCACTGAATTGGCAGGGTATGTTAGCATGCTGTTCACTAGCTTAAATGTATTTCTGGCAGTTAAATGTTAGCCAAGTGATACCTTTTATTGGCCTAGTTTCTGCTGATGTATGTTTTAATACTTAGTTTGTATCTTCCTGTTTTCCCAGAGAAAACGGGAAACCATGGAGAGGATAGAGGATATAGTCTTCCCAATACTTCTGAAGTTTTCAACAATTTTCATTGTCATTGACCATGATATCCTTCTGAATTAGTTGACAGTGATGAAACTTAGGATGTTATTGTCAGTGTTTTTAATGCTACCTGGATGGGCTTTTTTAGAATGGAAATTTGAGAGTGGAGTCTGTTACCAAAGGAGTTTCTCCTTCACATAATGTGTTCAGGTATAGGCTAGAGAGAAATCTAATGGGGATGCCTTAATTTGGATGCTTGCAACCCGCCAGGAAGGGTTCCAATCTTTTAAAATAGGGAAAAAGTAGACCCGGGAAACTGTAGACCAATCAGCTTGACATCATTATCTAGGAAAATCCTAGGAAAGATAGTCAAGCTGTGGATTTGCAAGCACTTAGAAAGGAACAAGTTGATGTAGAAGCCAGCATTGGTTTGTTAAAAATAGGCCATGCCAGACAAATCTTACTGATTTTTCTTCGAGAAAGTGACTAGTTAATAGACCAAAGGATTGCTGTGGATGTAGCATACTTTAGTAAAGTATTTTATAAAGCAGACTATAGCTTTCTTCTTGATAAAATGGAACAATGCGGAATAGCCCCACTGCCAGATTGATTAGCAGTTGTTGAAGAACTGTACCAAGCATGTGTTCCTTAATGGACCTATGTCTACATGTAGGGATACACACAGTGGGATTCCTCAGGGTTCTATCCTGACCACAGTCCTCAACATTTCTTATAAAGACTTACATGAGAGAAGGGATGCTCATCAAATATGTGGATGACACATGGCTGGGGGGATTACTAACACCTCAGAAGACAGACTCAAAGTTTGAAAGGAAATTAATAGACTTGAACATTGGGCCCTATCCAACAAAATGCTCTTCAATGGTGAGAAAAGTAAGGCTCTGCATTTAAGCAGGAAAAACCAGATGCACAGGTACAAGATAGGCGGTACCTGGCTCAGCAGTAGTACTTGTAAGAAAGATCTTGGATCCTCAGATTAAGCATGAGCCAGCAGTGTGCTGCAGCTGCCAAAGAGCCAATGCAATCTCGGTTTGCAGAGGTATAACATCAAGGTCATGGAGGTTATATTTCTGCTTTATGCTGCTTTGGTCAAAGCAGCTGGAAAACTGTCTAGTTTTGGTCACCACAATACAAGAAAGATGCTGAGGAATTGGGGAAACTGCAGAGACAAGCAATAGAGATGGTGAGGAGTTTGGAGGCTAAATCCTATGAAGAACAGTTAAAAGAATTGGGTATATTTAGCCTAAAGAAGGGAAGGCTAAGGGGAGCCATGTTAGCAGTCTTCCAATACTTGAAGGGCTGCCCAAGGGAAGTGGGTGTAGAATCATTCTCCATAGTGCTGGAAGATAGGACAAGAACCAATGGCTGGAGGTCTTAGAGAGAGAGATCAAAGCCTGAAATAAGGAGGAATGACCATAAGAGCTATTAAGCAGTGGAATAGCCTTCCTCCTGAAAAAGATTGGACAACCATTTGCTTGGGAGGGTCAGAGGATTCCTGCCCTGTGTAGGGAAGTGGACTGGGCTACCTCCAAGGTCCTTTCCAGCCATACAGATCTATGAATGAAGCACCTCTCCTGAAATCAGAAAAGCAGCATCTTTTTGGGTCAGTAGGAAGCATATTCTCTGTGGTTTGGCAGTGGTTTGGGGTGGATTTAGTATCAAAATGATGAGGGCCAATTTGTTGGATCCTCTGGTTTCTGATTCATTCTGAAGAAACATTTGTGATCTGTGTTTTGAGAGAATTTTTTTTTTTAAATGAGAATTTGGTGGATGAAAAAGAACTAATTCTGTGGAGAAAGGTGTGGTGTGTGTTATTATTGTTTTTAAAATAATATCCTCCATTAAACAAAAGAAAAGATTCGGATTTTATTTTTTCGATCAGGTTTTTATTCAGACCGTCACTGAACCGTCTGTTTCCTTTCTTCTATCGCGTGGAGTATTGAGGGTGCTCCTATGGTTTGAAAGTGGCCACAGGATGGATCTGAGACTTAATGACAGCCGCAGGACACACATACTGTAACGGCTTCCATAGGTCCTGCTGACCCAGCGACCGAGAGAAACTTAAGACGCGCAGCCTACAGCTACGTTCCAGGCACAGAAAGCTCGCCTCCGCTTGTCAATCTTGCGCATGCGTTTTCCTTTTACGGGCCCTCCTCCTCCAGCCGAGGAGCCGCGCACGCGCGCCGTTGGAGGGTTCCTTGCAGCTGCCTGAGCTCGTTGGTGACACTCCGGGCGCGCGCTGGCAGAGCGGCCGCGGAGCGACGCCGGGAAACAAAAGGGGTAAAAGCTGCGGTGCGGGTGGTGTGAAACAAGGTCGACCTGGAGGCTGCGTAGGAAGAAAGAGAGGACACTGCGAGGGGCAAACCGGAGAAGCCCGCTTCCTTTCCCCCTTCGAGCAGGCAGCGGAGTCCGAGAAGAGCCCGGCGCTCCCTCATCTTTGGTGCGCCGAGGGCCCTTCGCGGCCCCGCCCTACCGGCTTGCCCGGAGTGTCTCGTCCTTTCCCTTCGGACTGAGCTGATCTCGGGCGAGAGAACTCGGAGCCGCTGGCGCTGGGTGAGAACCGGAATTGGGATGGAAAGCTGGCAGCCGCTCCTGCCAGAAGGATGGGCGGGGACCCTTCACCTCTCTGGGGCGAATGGTAGGCGGGGAAAGGATTCCTGGTGCCCCCGGACTTGTCGGAAGGGATAGGCCGACGCGCAGGAAGCTCTGGACCGTGTTCGCACGGCCCGACCCGTGTCGGTCGTTTATGATTCAGTTAGCGTGCCCGTAATTACCACGACTTCCTGAATATTATTGTTCATTTTGAGACATAAATGTTCTGGTGCTTAAGGGTACCTCTAGTAAAACCTCAGATCCTCATTTTTTCATTATGGGAAAGTTAACCTACATTAAATGTCTCTGACAAGATGTTGCTTGGAGTTCAGGGATACTTCACAAGATCTTTCTCAGGAAGTGTGGTTGGAGGGTGAGTCAGAGAAAAAGTTGGAAACTGGCCTGGTTCAACTGTCTTCTTATTGTGAAAGGAAACTGGCCCTTCTACCGGTTCTTTATAGCAAAGGATGAAAATTCAGGATATTTACTTTACTGATGTTAGCTTGATAGTTCGTTAGCCAAGTTGAGAGAAAATTCTGTTATGTTTAAAATTATAATCCTAAGCATGTTTACTTGGGAATGAACACAGAGCCAGTTTGGTCTAGTGGTTAAGGTACCAGGCTAGAAACCAGGAGACTGAGTTCCAGTCCTGCCTTAGGCCTGAAAGACAGCTGGGGTGACTTTGGGCCAGTCACTCTCTTTCAGCCCAACTCACCTCACAGGGTTGTTGTGGGGAAAATAGGAGGAGGAGAAGGAAGGAGTATTAGGCATGTTTGATGCCTGGGGTTATTTATAAAAAATAATAAAGGCGGGATACAAACATCTTAAAAAACACCCTTAAATTCAGGTGGTGGTAGTTATCTCTTACAAGTACACTATTATAAGTAATGTTGCATAGTACTTTAAAGGGTTTCATAGGCAAAAAATAGATTGCTGCCCAAATGAATTCATGATCTAAATGTTGTGCTTTAGACATGCATTTAGAAATTGTGTTCAGTGGGTAGAAGAGCATGTTTCAACTGTGACTTTTTAATAGTATTCCTTTCCCTGCTTATTTCACATTCAGAGCAACATTTGCATTCCTAATCCTGTTAATTTCAGTGTGCTGCATCAAGGACTTTTTAATGGTATTCCTTTCACTGCTTATTTCACATTCAGAGCAACATTTGCATTCCTAATCCTGTTAATTTCAGTGTGCTGCATCAAGATTAAGTTGATTTAAAATTGTCTTAACATCAGTGTGGGAAATTGGTTATTGATTTCTTCAGGAATCAAGTACAAGTGGAGGAAAATAGTGTTTGATGCTCTTAAAATGGGGAGAGAAACTATAGCATGAGTTGTAAGTAGGCAACCTGTGAAATTCCAGAACTACTGGCAGAATGATGGGTGGGAAACTCCTGGCCAGTGGGTAGAAGGGCATGTTTCAACTGTGACTTTTTAATGGTATTCCTTTCACTGCTTATTTCACATTCAGAGCAACATTTGCATTCC